AACTTTTGGCTCTCCAATCTAATTCTGTTTCGACAAAATATTTACGCCTCTCTACAGTTTGGGGGCACATATCATCCATCAACCCAAGTATATGGAAGCGAAAATCCACATGCGGAAGGGTGTCACCTGCATGTAATGTAATGCAATGTAATTCAATAATGAAAATTTTGACAAAATCCACTTTTACATATTAAAAACAACCACAATACTGACAGTGCTCTTCAATTAATCGGAAGCATAACATTTTCACATTAAATGGAGCGACGCAAAAAATTTTCATTTCAGAAAGATTCATGTTGTAAAACCAAATAATTTCGGTTTATGGGGGTTGCTTTGGTAAAATGTAAGTCAAATGTTGAGAGGCTGTCTCTGGTAAAACAGTTACAAACAATTTGTAACACTCGTGTGTGGTTCAGAGGAGCAAACAACCCTCAAGCAGTGCACTTGCCACTGTCGGCCTAGTGATTGGGGGAGCTATTGCAATCAAAATGAAATCATTTTTGTGTTATATTCAACCTCCTTCCAAATCCTGCGACCCTTCAAGCTATTCTCTGATATATGAGATGTAATTAAAGTCCAGACCTCGAAATCAGTTTTGGCTTAGTGCAATAGTTTTGTGGCAGAGTGTGCTCTGATAGAATTGGAGAAAGAGGTGGTTTGTGGGGCGTATCGCTTGATTGCAAATTGGTCCGTCCATGGGCTGTTGGTGACGTTCCTTTGATTATGCCGCAAGTCGCCTGCTTCGTTGGCGTTGTCATCGTTTCCCTGGTCGAGATTGCCGTGGTCCTTGTTCTGGCCTGTTGTTTGTTTTTAATATAAATGCAAATTTCACCAGCGACATTCTCCATGCGTGTATGAGAGAGACTGTTCCAGAGATCTGTCATAATTAATAATTTGAAGCTCTGACTATGGCAATGCGTGCTCTGTCTATCTCGTCCTGCCCAGTTGCAGGTCGCATATTAAACAGGACATGGAGCACACACATCTATGCCGACAGCCTTCTAGACGTTTTAATGCAATCCAAAGTTTTTGACAGTCCCGCACTTATCTGTAAGCTATGCCAAAAAGATTAGAGACCCGGCTCCAGTGCTCTATGTACTGTCCCCATACTACTAGGACCAGTACCCAAGGTCCTGTGCCCGGCATGTGTGAGAGTTTAATTTATGACTTGCAATTAGCAGTTGGCAAATGTGTAATTTTCATAGATCCAACGGGTCTCTAGAGTTGATATATAACGATTGGTCATGCTTCCACAGGACACTCTGGCTAATCGGGACTAGAGGATGTACCTACCAAAAGGCAAACACTTTAAACAAGCTTAATGGAATTCTCTTTAAGCTTTCAAGTCGATTATTTAGCGTCCGACTTTACTCAGCCTGTAGTTTACAAATTGTGAACAATAATGGAGATCATGAACGCCGGAAGTTTTCCAAAAGAAAAGAAGTTGTTTAAAGCTCATCTCACAGAAACTACGTTTTATCTATAGCAAAAATAGAGTTATTTAATCCATTAATACCAACAAATGAAATACAGATTTCTTCGCCTTAAAAAGCGTTTGCTCCGTTCCTGGCTCAGAAATTTGCTCTTAATAAGCCGAAAGGCAAGCACAAATAATTAGAATGCTGTCCAATACTGGGATGACCACAACTAGCAGAAGCAACCACAACTGAACGGGGTATGAAATTGACATGCAGCACGGAAAACCCAGATAGGAACAGGAATTGAATTTCGAATATCTTTCGTGGACACGTGAAGGCATTTAAATTGTATTTTAGCGTTTGTAGAACGCACGCTCAAAATACATTTTAACATACATATATATGCACATATATCAAATTTCAGGAAAAACAAAATCTTAAAATTACAGAAACCTCAAATTTCTACAGATATCATAGAAGCAATTTATAAGGGAACACGCCCCGAAAACTTTAGAAGAACGCCGTTTAACTGCCAAACGCCCAGCCATCAGCCAGTCGAGGGCGTGGCCGGAGCAACCAGACCTTTGAAGAATATAAAGTGAAGCGAAAGTAAACAAAAGGACGATGCAGCACAACAACACATGCGGAAGGGATAATAATTCACCGGACGACCAAAGGCAATGGGAACAATGGAAACATTATTCGGGATGAACTACAAGATAGAAAATATAAAGGTGCAACTGACCGAAGCGGGTCCGCGTCGGATCGATGGTAATTCTAAGGACAGGCGCACAGCTGGAGATGTCCCTTGCCCGGCGTTTCATGTAAGGCGCGCGATAAATCGACATTAAATGTGGAACGCTCCGCTCACCGCTCATATAGTCTCGAAGGCAAATAAACTTCTATGTAATCACATAAATACTAGTGGCCAGGACTAGGACCTAGCCCATGAAACACCTTTTCCCATCACGTAAAGCACTTGACCATATCCAGGCCCAGACCGAGTGCCAGTTTACATTGTCTACAACTTGTTGTCTGGTCGATTGTGGTTTTCGATTAGCTCGCATACTTATTAAAATTGGATATTAATTGTTTTCAAGTTCGTGGCATGTCAACAACTCACGTCGCACGGTTCACTGAGGTCGATTTTAGCTCAATCTATCTGTCTAGCCAGCGACTGTTTATGGATTTGTTTTTTTGCTTACACAGAGATTTAAAAAATTTAAAAATGATCTATCTCGAAATCGAAGTGATAATGAATCTCTGAGGTTGAAGCTTGTTTTGATAGGATTATATCTTAGAAAACACTCTGTAAAAATAAGTACTGTGGTAAGCTACTAACTTGTGTGACTAGTGTGACTAACGTTCTAAACGCCCTTCTGCACCTTGACTTCTGTACGACCAAGTTGTGGTCACATTCCAGGCAATGAGCAGCAGCTGTTGCATACATTCAGCCAGTGTACAATAACCACAATAACCCACCACAAAGTCCACCCGCGAAACAACCAACAAACAGTTTTCAGAAAAAACAAACTTCCCTGTTACATTCCTCATACCCATGTATAGGATAGCATTGTAGGAACATTATAGAAATAACAATGAAAGATTTTGAGAATTCGTTACGAAATTTCACGCCACCGTATGTCTGTGACGAAATTTTCTATAGACAGAGAGCCCCTGACAAGTGCAGCATTCAGATGAGTCAGCCTCAGTCCCTTTCGATGGCAAGGTGGAAAAGGTTGCAATATGAAACCCAAAAACACGTTCCCACCCCGAATTCAGAGTTGCCACTTTTAATCAGCATGAAAAAGACCCCGTCATCTCTTAGACCGGGTGTTCAGCTATTTAAAGGGTACGGGTACCCAGGAGAGATTCTCGAAATTAAAATTCGTCCAAAATGAAATTTCTTTACTATGTAAGTTTTTTTTGTTGAACAAAATAAATTAATACATGAATTCCAAAGCAATTTTGATGTTGACATTGAGTAATGTTGGTTTCGTTCAACGAACAACGTTTGGATTCGGATTCGGTTTAGAATTCGAGACAAAGTTTGACTCTAACAGGGGTTCTCGGTGAGCTTCCTTTAGTGGGTGGTTGTTTGGGTTGGTATTTTCATACCATTTTCGAATATTACATGCGGATTAGCATTTCCTCATTGGGATTGCAACAAAACGTGCGCCCATCATTGGGTTGACTTGTGTGTTTTATGTCGCAGGAGAAGCTACCAAATGGGGGTGGCTTGATGCATTACGAGGTGGGGTGGTTTTAGGCTTTGGGAGTTTGTTTCAGATTACAATCATAAGGAATTTTTAGAGTACTGCCTTCCACAGAATTTTGTAAAAGAATTTAACTTGATCAAAAATTCTATTAAAGATGAGTAGTTTTACAAAATTTGGTACATTTGAAAGGGCATAAGTACTGATTAATATTAATATCAATTTTTTTTCTTGTTTCAATTTTTGTAGACTAAGTTCCTTATATACTCCCTGACAAATGTAGCAATCTGACTGACTATGCACAGTCGTATTGCCTGTTTATATATATTTCGCGAGTTGTGGAATTTTTCAAGTGCAGAATACTACAAGTGTGCCTATGTTGAAATGACTTAGTCAGATGGCTAGATAAAAAAAAATGTTAAGCCCTTTTTTGATCAAAAGTTAGCATCTTTACTAATCAATTGCCTTTTTAATCATTAGGTAACTATTATAATTCTGTTTAAATAGGAAAACTACATGTGGCAGAGGCGGCAATGACAAACAGATTACTGACGATAGATAAATATTAAGCAACTTTATATTGGGGCTTTTCCAGGAATCCATCATCTCCGTCGATCCATATAATTTCAGGAAAACACAAACCATGCATCTCAATGAATCATCGTTCATTTTAACATAGTCTCGTCTGGCAGTCCATAAAATATCTGTCTCGCCCCAAATATCTTATATTTGTGATATTTTCAAAAACGTATTTTGGAAACAAAATTATTTTAAAATTTATTTATTACAACTAATGCTCACTATCCGGGCTTATAGCGACCCTGCTATAAGCGTCGTGCACGCTTGAGTCATAAGCCGCCACTACCTTGGTCCGCCCAAATACGTCTTATAACTCCTACTACAACACTTCCGAACAGGAATTTACTGAGTTGCCGTAAATGAGGAAAAATTGGAAGCTATCTATACAAAATTCAGATTAGGCGATGGCTTAAACAGTTATATACATATATTATGTACATATGTATGTATTTATTCCGGTATATACCAAATTATCTGGTTAAAACAAACGTATGTGAATGATGTTTAATAAATAATATAAAGCATTGTATTTCAATTCGCTTTCAATCGTGTGAAGTAATTTTTAAATACTTGTAGCGGCTTAAGCTTTTATCCTTACCAGCCACTCAACAGGGCTACCTCCAACATCAACACGAGACCCACTTCAGCTCACGTCATGAACACGATTATGGACTTTATAAATGTGTAGCAAAGCGAATGGGATTGGAAACTATTCACCTAAACTCTACGAAGTTTAGATACGCTAAGAAAGTTGTCCAAAGAATAGACTCTAAAGTAGAATGTACTCAAAATTAAAAAAAAACTTTAATTTTAGATTTTGTGTAAAGAGAATTGGTATAGAAAATTATACTAAATGTGTTTCATTGATTTGAATAGTGTGTATACCCGTCGGTATAAAAGAAAAATTATCATAATATTTACGGCCAGCTGGTGTTAACCGCTTACATAATATATGAAAATGGAAAATCTCTTTGAGTTGCACTTGAAAAGTGCTTGGACCATGCCATGATGATGAACTTTGTAAAACTCTTGACCACACTTGCCGCACCCGTTCCAGCAGACTCACACCACTGCTCTAGACCCTAGTACTTTCTTCTAACTGCTTTCGACTTTGGAAATGTCCAGCCAGATGACGTCCCAAAGATTTCTGATACCATGGCGATTAGAGGAAAATGGGAATGTGAAAGGAGCTTGGACTGGGTTTGAAATTGGAGCTGTAGAAAGAGGGGACAGAGAATGCATTACACTTGACTTGAGCGCCACTTGTTAGTGTATTTTTTATACATACATATGAATACATCCTATATATACACATCCAGTTATAACCATGCCCTTTGTTTGTGTGCGTCAAGTGCTGGGATTTTGACGTTCACACTTTGACTTTTATTTTGGCTGACTTTTAATCGTGTCGTTGACAACTAAGCTGCTATAATCGCTTTTGAATTGAATTAAGCACGTAAAATTTCAACGCAGAAAAGTTGAGATCCAAAAATTAAAAAAATTAAAGTGGAGTGGAGATTTAAGAACTTGCCATCAGAGAAAGAGCGTGGACTTGACTTCACTAGTCTCTCACATTGCTATCTACAGCTGCGGTCAAAATAATACATAATAATAATAATATATCCTCAATAAAAGGACTTACGAGCACTTTCCCAAAATAATTTTAGTTTTTTTAGAGACTAACTTAAGTCCAGATTGTAAAAATAGAAAATAATAGTAGTGTATTATTTCGAATACAAATTCGAAGCTAGTTTTAAGATTTAGTTGAGTAGCCTATATTAGCTCTACCGCCTGCACGACGCTTTGGCATGGAGCTTACTAAATTTTGGCATCTATCTATAGAAATCGTCCTCCAGGACCTTTGTAAAACGTCCCAAAAGTTGAATGTGTTATTTATGAGACTTTTCCCCTCACATAATATCATAAATTCCCTATTAGATTGAGATCGGGTGATCGATCCGACCATTCCAATGAATTTACTCTATTGGCACCGAACCACTCTCTGGCAACTTTGCGGTTGTCGTTCGGATCTTTGTCCTTGCATAACCTCTGATGCATAAGGTAGAATCATTTCGGTCGATATTTGAATGTATAAATGAAGGTCCAATATGTTTTTACCACATATAATGGTCAAAGTCCGTAGCTGGAAAATCAGGCCGAAACCATTGTTTACGGTGCCGCAGTTTTTACGCATTTTGAAGTATGTATATTTTGAAGAAAATCTAGATAGCCGTGGTCGTCTTAGATACTAACGAGATACCAGGCAACAAAAAGAACAATTTTAAACTCGTTAAAAAAAAAATATTCCTCCACTTTTACAATGGTCAATTTGAGTATTCCCTAGCAAACTTCAACATTGGAACTGCATGTTTTTTTTGCCAGTAAACATTTTTTTCCTTAGGCTTCGTTTCATTAAATTTGAATCTTTAACGCTTCTTTTAATAGTTTCAATACTAGTTTCAAAATTAAATTAAAATTGCAGCAGGAGCAAAATGGTGTCATCTCGCCTATCGTGATTGTTCATGTACTGATATTTAGCCGAAAAACTTCCTTGATCGCGTGTTTCGCTTTATGGTTCTTATCTAATATCATTTTTTATCACAATAGCTAAACAACCTATAATATTTTGCACCTCGACATATTACTTTCATTCTGAAACAAGCCCGTGAAGCATAAACGCTTTTCCGCCCTAGAGTTTCTGCCACTTCAACAATCGAATATGTTTTATTTTGACCGCAACTGTATATTTTGCGTGTATTACAGTGACTTTATAAAAAAAAATTTTCTTCGGAGGTCCGTTTCGCAGTTTTCTGTGCCTTCCAATTTGCAACCCCAAGTCTTATGAAACACGTCTCGTTATTGTACATACAGTTGTTTTCAATGAAATTTTTTTGCGATATTTCTAGTCTTTCAAGTTGAACAAGGTATCACCTTTACGGAAAGCCTGGAATGTAAGCATTAGAAAATCAAAGAAACAACGCTAAATTTGCATTCCATCTTCTTTTTTTTTCAAGTACTTCCCATGATATATGCTGTTCAATCAAATGGTAGTGCTGGGTTAAATTAATTTTTTTAAATAAAACGAGAAGGAACGTGTGAGTCGCTTCTAGCGACGCGACTCTACTTATACCCGTACTCAGTCAGCATATACATTTTTGAGCTTATGATTTTTTAGAATTTTAGCATTAAAAAACGAGAAGGAACGTGTGAGTCGCTTCTGGGGACGCGACTCTACTTATACCCGTACTCAGTCAGTATATACATTTTTGAGCTTATGATTTTAAAGAATTTTAGAAAAAAAAAAAAATTTTACATTTTACATATTTACATATGCTATTATTCTACATCTACATCTAACATGTAGATTGTACATGTTCCAATTAGATTCTACATCTCCTCCGCTAGGGGTTGCTCGCGCACTGAACGCGGCAGAATGTGCGAGCGAGAAGGAAAATGAGATGCGTTCTCGCAGGCGGGATGGGGAGGGGAAGCAACTGAAAATTAATTTCTTCATTCTGGCTATCTTTAAAACTGTGCCTGCCACAGATTTTCGTACTTTGTGTGGGCGGAAGGGGGCGGGGCGAAATTTTGAAATACACTTGTAGCAGTGTGATATCACATGAGTCTGGAAACCAAATTTGGTTTCTCTAGCTCTTATAGTCTCTGAGATCCAGGCGCTCATCAAGACGGACGGACGGACAGACGGACGGACAGACGGACATGGCTATATAGACTCGGCTATTGATGCTGATCAAGAATATATATACTTTATGGGGTCGGAAACGTTTCCTTCTCTGCGTTGCACACATCCACTTTTACCACAAATCTAATATACCCCTTAACTCTTTTTTGAGTACGGGTATAACAAATTTTACTTTTTACGTTTTTTTGCCACATCTGTTATCTACATCTACAATGTATATTTTACATCTAACATGTAGATTATAGATGTACCATTCATATTCTACATCTCCTCCGCTAGGGGTTGCTCGCGCACTGAACGCGGCAGAGTGTGCGAGCGAGAAGGAAAATGAGTTGCGTTGCCTCGGGCGGGATGGGCAGGGGAAGCAACTGAAAATTAGTTTCGTCATTCTGGCTATAATTATTATCCGATCTGATTCAGATTCAGCAGTCTGGTAGATATGAGCATTCTCTACGATACTGTGTTTTAAGTTTTATCGTATCTTTAAAATTGTGCCTGCCACAGATTTTCGCTTTTTGTGAGGGCGGAAGGGGGCGGGGCGAAAATTTGAAATACACTTGTAGCAGTGTGATATCACATGAGTCTGGAAATTAAATTTGATTGCTCTAGCTTTTATAGTCTCTGAGATCCAGGTGCTCATCAAGGCGGACGGACGGACAGACGGACGGACAGACGGACATCGCTATATCGACTCGGCTATTGATGCTGATCAAGAATATATATACTTTATGGGGTCGGAAACGTTTCCTTCTCTGCGTTGCACACATCCACTTTTACCACAAATCTAATATACCCCTTAACTCTTTTTTGAGTACGGGTATAAAAACAAAGCAATTTAATTCTTTTTCTTTTCTCAAAAAAGAGTTAAGGGGTTTATTAGATTTGTGGTAAAAGTGGATGTGTGTAGCGCACATACCCCATAGAGTATGTATATTCTTGATCAGCATCAATAGCCGAGTCTATGTCTGTCTGTCTGTCCGTCTGTCCTTTCTGATGAGCGCCTATATCTCAGAGACTATAAGAGCTAGAGAAACCAAATTTGGATTCCAGACTCATGTGATATCACACTGCTACAAGTGTATTTCAAAATTTCGTCCTGCCCCTTCCGCCACACAAAGGACGAAAAAAACTATAAACTCAGTATCGTAGAGAATGACTGTATCTACAAGATTGCCGAATCTGAATCAGATCGGATCATAATTATAGCCAGAATGAAGAAATTAACTTGCAGTTGCTTCCCCCACCTCCTCCAGCAAGTACCACGCTACTCATTCACTTCTCGCTCGCACTGCCTCGTTCAGTGCGCGAGTGCCCGCTAGCGGAGATGTATACTAAACATCGTAGATGTATATAACAGATGTAGCAAAAAAATGTAAAATGTAAAATTGTTTTTTTTAATTCTAAAATTATAAAAAATCAACTCGAAATCAAAGATGTATATACTGACTGAGTACGGGTATAAGTAGAGTCGCGTCCCCAGAAGCGACTCGCACACTGGCGTAGGAGTCACGCCATTTGGCGCAATATCTCTGTGAGTTGGCTGAAGCTACGTATCAATGTAAGTTCACCAAGAATAGTCAGGCGTATATTTTTAATGTTACTGGTTAGGAATTTATCAATCGATGTATTTTATTACCAGTGACCATAGTGCTATGCAGGACACTTTCCTGTCAAAATTTGAGAAGTGCTCTTCAATCTGGCCCAACAAAACGTACCCCAAATCCGCGCAACCCCCTCCACGCGTACACCTCGCCCTTCGCGAACTCCTCCCACACCGCGAACGCAAACTCCCCGCCCAACGTGTACTCCAACTACCCGCACGCCACGCCCTACGCATACTCCTCCTACATCACGAATTCCAACTCCCCGCTCGCCCACGCACCACTCACAGGACCCTTCCTCCCACAGTCTCAAATGAATAAAATAATCACGGACACGATAGATATCTCTATAGATAAAACACTCCAATGCTCTCTATTACTACTACATACTTTAATTTGAGTTCTTCCAGAACAAATACATATTCCCAGATAAGGGTTAACAAGAGGCTCTTGAAATATTTTTGTTTTCTTACGAAACATGCCGAAAATGATTTTGGTGGGCTTACCAAACATATGAGGATTTGCAAGTTATACGCTACTTATTAAAAGTTCCATTAAACCAGGGGAAACGTTTGAGTCGAGACACACGTGCCTGTCGGGAGGGCAATGGCAAAAATTTAAAACAAGCTTCATCTGCGTGTGCATCCTAAAAGTATGCAGCTAAAAGTGCGCTCGTATGCACTATGGGAACTTTGACCACTTTTTCTGGCCATAACTCATTTTTCGAAAGTAGTTAAAATAATATATTTGTTGACCTGATATATCCGAATAACATTGATCTTTAATGTTATGCAAAAAAAAAGTTAACAGCGCGCGCTACTGTTAAATTAACAGCTGTTAAAGTCAGCTGTTTGCTATCGATAGGCCAATGTTGGTGGAAAAATTTGTTTTTTCGTCTTATAAAAAGTGCTAAAAAGTTATAAATTCATTAATTTAATTGATTTCTTTACAATGGGTTCGATTCAGACAGGTTTGTAATATATGTTTATGTGTTTGAACTGTTAAAATTGTGCTCATAATAATATCACAATATTAACTTTTAGACAAAAACATAGGACTGCAGCAACATTTGAAACGGTTAAATGTGATTTTTGGAGGGTTGGTCAACCAATTTTAGTTGAGTCATTTCTCGATCGATTTTTATGAACAATGCTTTGATCGACGCTTAATTGATGCATCTACACACAAAAAATATAAGAGCAAAGGATACGATTTGTTTTCGACTTTTCTTGCGTTTTTAAAGTCAAAATTTTGAAAAAAGTTCTGAGCAAAACCGATCAATTTTGCATTGGAAAACTTAATATTTTCCAGACGGTAAGCTGAAGCTACAAGGTGCTCAGGTCTGCTTTATAGATGCATTTATCAGCTTTTCAGAATGTCAAAGTTCATTGCAACCATATGTAAGATACTTAAGTAATGTGCAAAATAAAAGAAAAAAGCATCACAAAAAATACCAAGAAAAGTTCGATTTTGTCGAGTAGTGATATTGACCGATATCCCTGGTTGTCAATGACTGCTACAGTGCTCAAAATCTAAGTGAATTCAAGCGATATAAAAGAAAACAAGATTCTACCTGTGGGATATTTTGCAGAAGAGAGTGCCAAGTTTCGAAATAAAATTTATAAAATTTTAGATTTAAAATGAGGCCGAAAAGAAAATTTCACGGACGTGTTCCACACTTCCGATACTATTATCTCATCGATTAACCTTGAAAGGAGCATAAAAAAGCAAAAATAATCTCATTCCAACTGAGGTGTTCGGTCTTTTACAAAGCGAGTTCATTCGTTCAGGCAGAGATCCACTGGAGCAGATTAGTTTCGATGAGCTGGCTGAAGATCAATTCGAATTCTCGTGGATGATGGGGCTCAAAAACAAACTCCATGAGGATTAACAAAAGGTGTGAAAGGAAACCTATTATTTACAATAAATTTGTGTTTCTTTCATATTTCAGGTCTTCTGATTAAAATTTTTGTGAAAAAGATACCAGAAATAATAATTTTCATTTTTTTTTAATTGTTTTTAAGGCGTGCCACGCCCTCTTGAATAAAATAAGATGTTCTCAACATGTTCCCAAAATTTTTGTTTTTTTACTTTTTGAGCAAAAAATAAAAATGAGATTTCTTTATAAAAAAAGGAGTTGCCACGCCCCAAAATACCTTCATTTTTCTATTATAAACTCATATCAAAAAACTAAACCAAAAAATATTGTTTCGTTTGGAAGTTATTAATTATTGCCACAAAAAGTGGTCAAAGTTCCCATAGTGGTATGACACGGCTATTGATTCTGATCAAGAATAAATGTGCATATGGGCATATGTATCTACATATACATATGTACTTCCTTCTGGCTGAATAAACTTTCAAGATCGCCCCCAAATTAATACATATGTATGTATATGTATATGTATATCATCTTAACTCTGCAATCAAGTCTTTATGAAAAAATTGTTGTAGAGTCATTCCTTTTCTCGTTAATCATTTGTATATGCATCCAATCTGAAAGTTTTTGAGCATGTTTGAATAGACGTATTTTGCACGAAAAAGAGCATTCCAGAATGATTTCACACAATCACTACAAATTACACTAGTCAACACGACATTTACGCTGTGGCCCAAAATTACTTTATCTGATAGATTTCAGGGCTTACAATTTTTTAACGAATTATGAGCCAGCTATAAATCCGAACCAGGCAATTTGTAGCTGGAAGATATTAAGCTTTTAAATTCGATTTTTTTCCCGAAATTTTTACGTTAAAAACTCAGGGAATGTCGAAAAAACAAATATTTCTTGGCATGTATTTTTTTTAGTTTTAGATAGACGCATTAATTAGGCGTCGTTTAAGGTTCATTAAAATCTATGAGAGACGGTGGAGCTAAAATTCGTTAGCCAAACCTAAAACATGAAAAAATTGACAAAAAATACTTTTTGGAAGGTTGCAGGCCATACTGCCAATTGGGAACAAAGCAAACGAAAAGAGGTTGAATTTTTGGTACCTGAACGTGGTCCTTTGGCATTGGACCAGCAACGTACCGTACGGTATTTTTCAGGTAAATGAGTTTTGAGTCGTTTTGGTCAAGCCGCCGTTTGACTTGGCCGTTTATCCATCGATTTGTACAAATGATACCTTTTCAGAACTTCAAAGCTCTATGCAACCAGACATAAGATACTTAAGTTATGTAAAAAATAGAAGCACTACCTCACTACCAGATTTGAAAAATTCTTAAAAAAAAACTAAACCATAAAAAAAAACATAGTACTATACAAATTTGTAAACCCCGAAATCTATCAGAACGAGAAGGAACGTGTGAGTCGCTTCTGAGGACGCGACTCTACTTATACCCGTACTCAGTCAGAATATACATTTTTGAGCATATAATTATTTAGATTCTACATCTCCTCCGCTAGGGGTTGCTCGTGCACTGAACGCGGCAGAGTGTGCGAGCGAGAAGGAAAATGAGTTGCGTTGTTGTTTGCCGGAGGGAAGGAGGGGAAGCATCTGAAAATTAATTTCTTCATTCTGGCTATAATTATGATCCGATCTGATTCAGATTCGGCGGTCTGGTAGATATGGAAATTCTCTACGATACTGCGTTTTTAGTTTTATCGTATCTTTAAAATTGTGCCTGCCACAGATTTTCGTCCTTTGTGGACGAAATACACTTGTAGCAGTGTGATATCACATAAGTCTGGAAACCAAATTTGGTTTCTCTAGACAGACGGACGGACAGACGGGCGGACAGTAGAGGTGGAAAAACATCGATGTTTGGAGACATCGATGTTTTCGATGTTTTAGTGAAAAACATCGATGAAACATCGATGTTTTGCAACATAAAAAAAATATCAAAAATACATAGTAAACTGCAAAGAAAATAATTAAAATTATACATAATAACAGTTTTATTTCATTTGAGATCAAGAGTTCCGAAATCCATTCACAAAAATATGTATATATAAAATAAGTACATTTACCAGATTATATCTTAAAATAAGTCTTGATTCTTGTTGAGAAATAATAGTTGGTACACCACTTCCGGCTTAAGGCGGCTACGACGATCAGAAATAATTAGCCCACCCTTGCTGAACATCCTCTCTGACTCGTAGGATGGGCATAGCGACATACCTCAGGGTGACATATCTCCTGGCAGACCCTAACGACATATCTCCGCACGGAGATTTTGAAACGACATACATATCTCCTCGCGGAGATTGGCGTCATATCTCCGCCCAGAATTTAGCGACATATCTCCTGCTAGAAAAAGTAATGGCAGGATATACATATGTCGCCCGGAGATATGTCGTTACCCCGTAGGATGTTGCCGGGACGCACAAATATTTTTGGGCTTCAGCTTTAAATGGCATCATGCCGTCTGTATTGATCTAAAAATGTAACCATTTGAGCTTTATCTTCTTCTCTCTTTAGGTTTTTCTTTCATAGACGACAAAAACATAAAAGCAAAACATCGATGTTTCGCCAAAAAACATCGATGCTTATAAAAATTTTAAAAACATCGATGCATCGATAGTAGCATCGATGTTTTTCCACCTCTAGCGGACAGACGGACATGGCTATATAGACTCGGCTATTGATGCTGATCAAGAATATATATACTTTATGGGGTCGGAAACGTTTCCTTCTCTGCGTTGCACACATCCACTTTTACCACAAATCTAATATACCCCTTAACTCTTTTTTGAGTACGGGTATAAAAATATATACATTTTATATTTATATTTGTGTATTTATATATTCAACCAGAAACTTCTTTTAAATTGTTTGTTTAAAATGTACCTGTAAGAATCGATAGAAAATTAATCTGTATATGACAAAAATTATATTGTCACAAGGGTTGCTTAACCATATCAATTATACTATTATATATTTATTTTATCGTGCTTAATCAGATTAATCAGAGGAAGACGATGGTGCATATTCATTTGGCTTATAATACCCTTTTAAACCATTCTTTCTTATGTCCATTCCTCTGATAAATATATTAAATATTGGTTATACGTTTACCAAAGCATAGTGAAGAAATAATTTTAATTTCTGGTTTGAATATCTTTAGAGACAATACAATTTTATAATTATAGCCGAGTTTCTCAGGTACCATGCAATACTACACTTAACATATGTAATCAATATTTTTACATCGGAAGAATACCTTTGTATACCTTATGTATAGCTCACGGTAAGGGCTAGCTCACACTAAGTAGTAAAGCGGTGCCGAAAATCTTTCCAAAAGCTCCGAGAAAAACAAACGCTCTGAACAAATGGATTCCATAATACCATTTTACCCTTTCAGAACACGTTGTATTCTTAAATGTAATCATTACAAAGAAATTTGATTTGGTACAAGTCGCTCAAAACTGTATGGATAACCTCTGAACGGAACCGTACCATTTAATCATCGAACTAAAGCTCTTACGATCACCTCGAACCACTCTCTGACAAGTTTTAAGCCGGGCCACAGAATAATTAATCAAAGCTGTTTTAGTTTCCCTACATAGTCGTGGCTACTCTCGCAGTTTAAAAAAATTTCAGATAAAAGTTCTGAAAAGAAAACAGGCCCAGCTGGATAGACACGAACGCAGGCGTTAACACATATACCATATTGTTTAAACAAGAGATGAGATTCTCTCGCTGCCGCCTGTCTATCCGTCTGTTTGTCAGTCTATCTATCTGCTTAAATACACAATGTGATAACGAAAATTGCAGGCATAAAGCCGGCAGAGACAACAGACGCTGCTGCTTCTAGGTCATTTTCATACACCGACAAATAAACCAGTTCACAAAAGTAAAGGAGGAACAAAAAATATAAATATATGCAAAGTAGAGGATGTCGTTTTTCTTTGCTGCCCAGTTGCTGGCGGGTAACCTAAGAAAGAGTCACGTTTTGCGAGGAAGTTGCTCGTTTTGCTATATTTCGTGTAGCAATATACGTTTTTATTATAATAGATTGCCATATTGATTTGCTGGCTGCCTATTTTAGTGAGTGATTGACTGACTGATTGAGTTACTAAGCTGCAATCATGTCGAACTTTACAGTAGTGCGTCTGACCAAAGTTCAGCCCTATCTGCATACGGTGGGCAGCAGTTATGCGGCCCTAGCCAATGTGGATCGTTTCTATGCCAAGGCCTTGGACACTGGAGTGCTCGACCTCCATGCGAACACCAGCGGGAGCCATGAAAATCTAGCTGCAGAAAGCATGCTGGTGCTTATTGAGGGAGAGACCTCCAGCTATCGATCCACCTCGACCATTGTGCTAATGGTTTCTGCCTGGACACTTCTGATTTTGGGCTTTGTCTTCTGCTGCTGTGCCGAGTGCTGTGGCGTCAGCGTCTGGAGGGGCAAGAAGCGTTGTAGCGTTGAGGGACTCAATGACGCTGAGCGTGGAGGAGGCGGCGATGAAGATGGTGCTGGTGGAGGTGGAGTTTCAGCCAGCACAGGTGGCTCAGGTGAGTTTAAAGCTTTTGTAGTGGGCGATAAAGAATACTTTAGACTTCCATGGGAAAATAGATAGCGGAGGGGAAAACAGTGCCAAACCCTAGACCTCGCACAACTGGAGACATATTTATGTATTTTACAGAATATTAAAAAATGCCAACAATATACGAGAATGGAATAAGAAATACCAAATACGCTTTTTTGCAGATCTTTTATCATACACATACAACCTTAACCGACTTGCAATTCATTCCTTCTTAGCCCAATATGTGTATAAAAAGCACTTTTGAATACATATGTTAACTGGTATTACTGAACTGCTCGAACAACACGAAAAACCCCAAACTCTTTTTTTACTCATATTTGTCTATTTGTGGGGTTTCTCCGTGGACCAGAAAGTGAGAGCCTCCCTCATCGATATAATAAAATATTAACCTATTTCTCGTGTTTCGTCTCCGCAAATTTGGCATGCGTTTTGTCAAAAAAGTGGCTTATGTCCGTATGAGTTACAGTTAAAGATTAACTAATATTTTTAAAGTTTTTCTGAATAAATATTGATAGCAGCTATAGGCTACACATATTGATAGCTGCTTGAAGCGAGAATGAACTTTTATACCCGTACTCAGTCAGAATATAAATTTGTGAGCTTATGATTTGTGTAGAATTTTAAAATATTTAACATTTTATATTTTTTTGGTACATCTGGTATCTACATCTACAATGTCATACAAAGTGTATGTTATACATCTAGAATGTAGATTATATGTACATGAGTAGCGAGGTCTCATGCTGGAGGTGAGGAAGCCACTGCAAATTTATTTCTTTATTATGGCTACAATAATGATCCGATCTGATTGAGATTCGGCAACCTGGTAGATATGCTGATTCTCTACGATATTGCGTTTATATCGTTTTATCGTATCGTTAAAATTGTGGCTTCCACAGAATTTCGTCCTTTTTTGGAGTGGAAGGGGGTGGTTCCAAAATGTTGATATACACTTGAAGCAGTGTGATATCACGTGAGTCTAGAAACAAAATTTTGTTGCTCCTCTGGTTTTATAGACACAAAGTAACAAATCATTTTTCCAGAAAAACAAAATAGAATAGATAAGGCTGTCATAAGGACTTATTGAAGGTTATGGAAAACGTTCTGAAAGTCTTTCTGCTTATTTTGTATTATTTATTGATTTTAAAACCCGTAATAATTTCTTTCCATTTGGTTTGCTCTCTACGCACTTCATTGCTTCCTCTACTCCTCCCATTCTTGATACTTCTTGTATATCATTTTTTACGGCTTCTCATCAGTTGAAGGCATTGCCTATGTAGACTTTCATGGCACTTTGATTGCTCATTTGGCATTTATTTGATGATGCCAAACTCTCGGGTCTTTAAATTATTCATTGTGTGTGGGCCTAATACCTCCAGTCCAAGTCCAAGCACCTCCGAATCTCTTGCTATGAGCTCTGTGTGCTATTTAAAAGTCATGTCCTTCCCCTACCCAGCGAAAGGAACAAAACGAAGCAGAGGACAACGCGCTGAAAACATCATTGGACTGCGGCGACCATCTAAGTGAGCGTATTGAAAATATGGCTCCCAGCGAAACAGCAGACATCTTGAACTTGGTCAGGGACTGTGGCTTGCTATTGAATTTGTGCCATGTTTTAGCAACCGATAAGGCATGAAAGATTTTTGAGATGGACCCAACTCGACTTAAAATTTAAAAAAAGTACATACTGAGAAACATCAAGATGGATATATAAAGCTACAAGAATAATAAAACTATATATGTACTTATGAATCTTGTACTTTCCATGTCCATAGGTATTTAGAGTTCAATTCAGAGTTAACGTACTTAGGTTAACTCTAACCTTCACTCTAGTCCCTATGACCTGTCATCTCTTTTTAGTCTACTCTATGGTCGACTGCTTTAACATTTTATCCAATTTGAATTTATTTTGTAGAATTTTTCTATACAAATTTGCATTTTTTATTAAGAGTGCCCAATACGCTGTCAAGTCCATGCAGTGTACATATAATGTCGTCCCCCTCTTTCAAACATATTTTTTATTGATTGCGTCCTAGCCATTAAAAGATGTTTGATAATGATTGAGCTAGATTTGAATTTCAGGTTAAATGAATTCGTTCAACATACTTGATAATTCTGCATTTTTAATTTTCAATTTGTAATTTGTATAAGGTAAATTTAATTGGGTTAGTTTTTATACCCGTACACGAAGAGGGGTATATTAGATTTGTGATAAAAGTGGATGTGTGTAACACAGAAAAGGAAACCATTACGACCCCATAAAGTATATATATTCTTGATCAGCATCAATATTCGAGTCTATTTCTGACTGTCCGTCCCGATGAGCGCCTAGATCTGAGACTCTATAAGAGCTAGAGCCAAAAATTCTTTTTTCCAGATTCACACTGTTACAAATTTATTTTAAAATTTCGCCCACCGTCTCTGTTCTCTTCCACAAAGAACAAAATTCTGTAGCATACACAATTTTGAAGATACGAGAAGACAGAAAACGCATTATCGTAGAGAATGATCATATCTACCTGATTGCCGAATCTGGACCAGATCGGAGTACGGGTATAAAAGTAGAGTCGCGTCCACAGAATCGACTCATAACGTTGCTTCACGTTTAATTATGAAAAAAGTGCAAATTCCTTTAGTTTTGTGATGGCCTGTTTAATTTACATTGATTAATGATTTTATGTTTGTATTCTCATGTGCATGACATACTAGTGTATGTCTGTATTTGATGTACACGATGTAAACGAAAAATGTCATATAAAGTGGTCAATAAATAAATGTTGAGTGCATATAGTCTGGTTGGTCCTTAATTATGATTACCACCCTCGCAGATCACTTGATTTGCAGAAGAAAATAATAACTCAGCAATTTCTTATTGCTTAAATGATATTTATTGCCAACTTCAGTCGTAATCTCTTGTAGACTGACGTTCTTACCTAGCTTTACATATTTTTGGATTTTCATTCAGAAACAAGACTAACGATAAAGCTTGCATATATACATAATGCAAGTTTATTTGAATATGTGAATAATATATTGAAATTCAATAGGATAGGTTAATGGATTAATTTTTTACATATGTATATTGTCCGGGGAATATACAAAAAGTAGTGCCGCCTACCCTGGTCCCCTTCCATCAATCGGTTTCCTATCAGCCTGGCCTGGTTTCTACACACGCTCTCACGTCAAGTTGTTGAAATTCTCCATAATAAAATTACGCAGTTCCCGTAAGTCGTTTCGGCGCAGGCGGCAAGTATGAAACGTAAATTTTTGCGACGAACCAATACAAAAATTGCGTCAAAAAGCACCACATGTGAGCAAGGGGATGCATGAGAGCGAGTGCAGAGGTCTTGACTCCAATGGCAATTTGCTTTTATTTCCTGATGATCCCCTGAACTCCCCTGCAGTCCCTACCTCTTTGGCTCAGTCACTTCTCTCTGTGCACCTCTGCGAACAGCCATTGAAGTTCACGTTGGCACCTTCACTCGCCTGTGGCTTTTTTTTGTGGATTGTATTTTTTTGTTGCTGTTCTGGTTTTTGTTGTAACTTCCGCTCCCGCTCTATCTATCTTTTTCCCTTTGTTTCTCTGTGTCCCCGCTTTCTATGCACTTGCGCTTATACTTGCTTTTATTTCCGTTGCGCTTATCACATTATTGCAAGTTCATTGCCGGCTTCTCATTTAACGGACATTCGCACACACATGTGGTCGGAGGGTGCTATCAGTCAACTCTAAAAGGTTGTTCCTTTGTAGAGGTGCTTTAACAACGAGGACACAGACCCACACAGATGCCACACAGAGTATCATTAACAAGATGCAAAGCATACAATACAATCAAGGATTAAAAATTCCTTTAAGATAGCAGTAAAATAATTTTAAAATAATGGTCATGTGAAGTTCTGGCCAAGAATAAGAAATTCTAATAACTAAAATTCACGCAACTAGTTTTAATAACGTATGGATTTATTAAATTTTTTAAATTTTCAAAGAGTGATTACTGAAGAAATCACATTTGAATAATCCTTTTTTAAAGAAAATCAAAACAAAGCAAAACGTTCAATCGATTTCCAAACAGGATCCAGCTTCTATCCCTTGTCAATGTCTGAACCATGGCCGGCTTTAGGGCAGGGTGAGCGGGGCTGGCTAAATTTTAGGGGCGCCAAATTCCCGGCCCCACCCTGAACGGGGACTTAACACGAAAAATGTCAAATCATGAGTTTTTAACAGTTTGTTACCTCCACTTCTCTCTTTTCCCTACTAGTCCGAAATTTGCATACATACATAGTATGTGCAAATATATTTATATTATTTATTAATTTATTTATTTTCACTTAAATCCCCGCCAAACAAAGAGAATCCTGGCGAGAAACTGTAGCCGGATCGGGCTAAACAAGTTCCGTGGCGTATCCTTTCCTTGCCCCAGTGTGCATGCATCTGTGTGTTTGTCTGTGCAACGTGTGTCTACTTTTGCAGCCAATGTAATATTCATGATTATTTGAAATTTGCGCTTCTTTATCCTTTATCTCCTTTTATGTTCGGTGGAGGCAGACGACAATCATATGTTAACGCGCTCAGCGCGACTCCTCCTCCATCTTCCTCACTCGCACAGATACTCCTACATACGACTTTTTATACCCGTACTCAAAAAAGAGTTAAGGGGTATATTAGATTTGTGGTAAAAGTGGATGTGTGTAACGCAGAGAAGGTAACGTTTCCGACCCCATAAAGTATATATATTCTTGATCAGCATCAATAGCCGATTCGATAGAGTCTGTCTGTCTGTCCGTCTGTCCGTCCGTCCGTCTTGTTTGTCGGCTGGATCTCAGAGACTATAAGAGCTAGGGCAACCAAATTTGGTTTTCAGACTCATGTGATATCACACTGCTATAAGTCGCCCCGCCCCCTTCCGCCCCCACAAAAGACGAAAATCTGTCGCATGCAAAATTTTAAAGATACGATAAAACTGAAAACGCAGTAATGACCATATCTACTAGATTGCCGAATCTGAATCAGATCGGATCATAAAAGCCAGAATGAAGAAATTAATTTTCAGTTGCTTCCCCAGCCACATTCCGCAAGGGACATGCTACACATTCTCTTTCTCGCTCGCACACTCTGCCGCGTTATGAACGCGAGCGCCCTCTAGAGGAGGAGATGTAGAATCTAAATGGTACATTTATAATCTACATGTTAGATGTATAATATACATAGTAGATGTAGATTACAGATGTACCAACAAACCAACATGTTAGATGTATAATATACATAGTAGATGTAGATTACAGATGTACCAACAAAATGTAAAATGTAAATTTTTTTATTTAATTCTAAAATTCTAAAAAATTATAAGCTCAAAAATGTATACACTGACTGAGTACGGGTATAAGTAGAGTCGCGTCCCCAGAAGCGACTCACACGTTCCTTCTCGTTGTATGTATGTTGATGTGCACATATGTAAGGCTGGTATAAACAGCGAGAATTCTTGAATATAAACGGAGCGTTATCGAGTTTCATGCGGCCACACAAACAGCGGCCAGGATACTCCGGGGAATTCCTTTAATGGCATTGACAGCAACTCAACTCAGCTCCGCTCCGTCAATATGCCTTGGCAAACTGTTGCATTTCTGGCCTTCTCAGGCTCTGAGCTTCTTCTTTCATAGATGTGCTCAGTCCTGTCGGTGTGCGAGTTCCGTTTCCATGCTTATCAGCTTTCGTCCTTCGTTATTTTTGCATTTCTCCTGATGCTCTTTTTCTTTTAAATTTATATGCGGTGCGACCGAAACCAAAAGCAATGTGCCACACCTCCACCTAAAAGTCAACGGCTTTTGTTGGAACTTAGCTGATGCTTCTTTTTGTGGAACTGGCACTGGCACTGCCTGACTGCATTGCGATAACAGACAACGGCAGCTTCGAATTCACGGTGAAGCGCCGTTTCTTGACAAACTATGAAATAATTATGATTGATTGTTGCTCTAGAGGACTCACAGCGGAAGAAACTCCAGATAATTCGTGCCAAGTATCTCAAAAGATCACGACCTGACATAAGGAAAGTAATTTTATACATACATATGTACATATATCCTTCGCAACGAGTTGAAGAATTGAAATCCACGCAAGCTTATGCTTGAAATTACAAGAATAAACAACAAAAAATGAGCTTCACTATTTAAAAAAACCATAGGTATAAGTAGTACCAAAGTTTCGCTTTCTTTGTTAATGTGGAACTGTGGGAGATAGCTATCTTCCTATGACAGCTGAGTTAATAGTATATTCAAAACACTTCATTTATATAGCTATAAAACTTGGTCGCTGTTTTCAAATTGTTCATTAATCTTAATATTCCCAAAAATTAAATAAATCTTGGATAAGCATTGTTCAAATTTCATTGACCGCGTCCCAATCTATACACAAACTGGAACTGATTCTAATTAAGTAGGATAATAATTCAATTGTATAAAATGGGGTCCACTATTTCTACCTTTACCTTTTACCAAGGTTTTAATGTATACAATTTTTAATGCCTCATTACGGTTTTAGTCAGTTCCAGGTCTTGGTTTCATCAACTAATAAAAATCGAAATAGATTTTCCGGGACTTTGGGTTCAACAAACAACTCGTAAATTACATGCTCATTTTACAGACATTTTTTGAGCAGACCACGGATGGGTCACTGGCTATCCTAACCTGGCTACTGTGTATTTTCCGAGCTAATTAGTCACGGTGTTTTGTCATTTGTACTTATTGGCTGAATGGCTGCAACTGAAGTTGCCGGCGATACGCAGCATGAAGTTTATTTTGTTGGTTCCAAATTAAGGAAAATTAGGGAAATAATGTTTGCATAACTCCATGAGAAATTTTCGTTCTACTATTTTCGTTCTCAGAGCCGTACAAAGAAAAACAAATCAATAGGATCAAGCCTATGTCTGTGTATTCCTTATACCTGTCCGAGGTGCAAGAAAAAAAGGTAAAAAGAGTCTGACTCTCTGCCAGCCTAAGCGAATCCGATTATCAAAACAAAACAAAAACAATCAAATTGTTCTCTTCTTTCGCAGCCCATTCAATGAGGGATAAAAGGGAAAAATGCCGCGGCCGGAAAAAGAACATTTAACGCGATGTGATGATTTACAAATTGCTTGGAAGAAACCGGGGAAACAAGAAAGAATCTTTGTCAGGCAATTCCTGTGTACTTGGATAAAAGACTGTTGCGATTGCGTTAGTTACTACCAACGTGGAAGTGCTTTTAATCAAAAAGTATCTATCCAACATTATTAAACATTATGCGGAAAAAAATTGTTTCCCATAGAAGGCATTGTCAAAAATTAGAATTAAGTTTAGATTATGAACATTTATACTAAAAGGATCTATAATTTGTATAACTTTAAACTTAACCACGTATATAATTATCTTTAATATTTCATAGACAATTTAAATTTCGGTAGCCCCGTCTGCTCAACAACGTGCAAAGACCTCAAGTAGCAAGCACAGGCTGGGTAAAAATTCTATAATTAAACGCATTACATGTTCCACCATTGGCACTTCCTTTGTTTGCTTAACTGTCTGAGCAATGTCGAGTAAGCTCCAATTACGTTGACGATCTTCAGTTCTGACATATGAAATGCCCCTGAGGTTGAACCAGGAACATTGAACCAACCAGAGATAACTGATGGGACTTTTATAGCATGACTATGATATTTTAATCTGCAATCCATCCGCATGATGCGAAATCCCAGAGTTGATAGATTTATACGCTTTATATTGTTCTGTTTTATCATTAATCTGTATCGTACCAGACATCAGACAGACTAACGTTCATATCCCTGTCGTACACCTGTATTACCTTTAAATCTTAAATGATCCAGCTAGAGTCGTGCAAAGTTAGAGTTAGAGTCGTGCAAAAATAAAAGTTAAAATCAAAACAAACCGATATTAACAGATAATAATCGTCCATTTTTCATATTTAATTTCCATGAACTGGAGTCGGAATCGCTTACTTCTTGCAGTAGCATATACAAAAATTAAATATTATTCTATACTACTATTGGATTACCGGGTATAAAAATAAAGAAAATAAAAAGGTCTTCAAGTTGAACGTAAATAATAATCTGAGTGCTTAGTGCAAGGTGCTTAGAGAGACGTTTGAGATAAGAAATTAACCCGATAAACACGGTAACCGGAGGCGAAAAATAAAACATGAGATAAATCATTAAGCGGAACTGACCTGAAAATATAAAATATTAAACTTACAGTCCGGCAAAATAATTTCAATGCATACAATTTATACAAATTATATTCAATATAAATTAAGGTACATCAGATGCAAATACTGGTTTGCTTTCGCCAGTTTTATTTTTTATTAATTACAATTGTGGGAAATTATTGGTTAATATAAAGCAGCAAATATATATATATATGAAAACCGGCTGGTGTCCATTTTATTCTAAGTAATTATAAAATTAACTATAACTTTACTAAGTCGGAAGTCGGTTTGTGTTCGAACTTCGAACACTTACATATAACTAAACACCGGGGACCGGGATCAATCACGTTATTTCAGTCGATTTAGACGTCTTTGCATCACTGCTAGGCCCTGCTAGGCTAGCGACAATCAGTTAGGTACTGGCGGCAGTCAGTCATTCGGAATTCGAATCTTTCTCGCTGCTTCTAGATAGACTCGGAACTCGCCGTTCCAGTCGCAGCTGCTTCATACGTCGACGCAGTCGCAGTTGGCTAATGTCGGTTGTTAACCGGTTGGTTTTAACTTGCCTATAAGTGAAAATCCCAAGGAGAGAATTTTAATTAATGTACAAAAGCGCGCGAGTTCACTTGAATGAGCAATGGGGGATCCGCGAAAATAAATTCTCTGCAAGTGGTTCGATCTTTTGAATGTTGGCCGACCGTGTCTGTAAACTTAAATAAATTCTGCGAGGAGAAAATCAAGCAAAATATTGACATAACAAATTAAACCAAAACATTTCCATATAAGAATATTGGCAAGTGTAAAAACACTGTGCGAATAAACGAGTACAAATATACATATACATACATATAAAAATAAAAAAAGTAAGCATACTGGAAATGAAATATTCATTTGTCCTTAGCTCTGTTTTAAAGTAAGATCTGAGGAAGAGAACATACAATTATAGAATTCTGCAATGCTGATCATTAAAAACGTACGAACAAGTCAAGCAGTCTTCTTTTAAGTATATTAATCTCAGTATCTGAGTCCAGCTCGGTTTTCTAGCCTATAGTTTTCTGAGTCAGAGTCTACTTATTTTGAATGCACTGTAGGCAATAAAAACTTGATATTTTCCACTTGATTTATTTAATAATTGCACGCCCTTCTCCGTCTGGCTTACTACAGACATAATGCGCTGATATCTAGTCTGGGTTAAATAACAATGGGCCTCACCATCGTTTAAATTAATGTTTTATAAATGGCGCAAACAATTGGCCTAATTGACTATTGTTTAAATAGAAAAGGAGCGATTGCAAATGGAATGGAAATGTGGCAGGGGACTTGGAATCGTGTCAGGTATTTTACCACTATAGGTAACTCCGAGATTCTCTTTAGATATCTTTGGAAGTCCAAATATATTTTTAGCCTCTTAAGTCCTTATAGAGAGACCCAACCTGATCCAGGGAAAATTAAAAATATATTGTAATAAAATCCAAATATCATCATTCATTCATAAAGAGCAGCACTCGAAAACAAGACAATAATCATCGCACGTGTGTTCCCCTGGCTTTTCTGAACTTTAGATGTCATCTAAAATTAGCGAGGCAAATACACGACGATTTTACAGCCCAGCGTAGCACATATTAAATGAAACAGAGCAAAGCGCACAGGCATGGCAAATTTTTTCCCTCTTTTCCACTTGGCAAATCAATAAAACGAGTTCATATACATACGTACTTGTAGGTGATATTACGAAGGAGATGCATCGATTTTTTGCCCAGATTTAAGGCCAAAAATCAATATTTGAACAACAAATCAGAAAAACCGACGTCGGAGTGGGCTGTGAGCCACAGAAATAATACCTGCCAGCTTAAATTTTATATAGAAGCCGTGCGGATTAGTATGAGGTGCGCAAGACAAATTAACACCGACGCGTTAACACAATTAGTAGAAGAGTGAAAAATGACATAAACTTAGAGGAAATAGATAAAATAAAAAAAAACCCACATGCCAACCGAGAGTACCAACAAAAATAGCCCCAAAATTTTCAACACTACACTCGTCGAGCGTTTTCAGTCATGAAATGAAGCTCCAACATCGCGGCTGAATCCCGAAAGAAACGCGAAACGAAAGTAATCTAATTCAGACTTAATCCGAAGGCTCTCCGACATGGCTGATCTACTGAAAGCTCTAAACTTCACGGGCACCTTGCTGGCGGGCCTCGAGGACAGCAGTCATGAGTCTCCATCGATTGTAGCCGCCACAAGTACAACTACCACCACCACACTGCCTGAAAGTATCAATGCCACAACTGCCTTAAATGTAACAACGACTAGCAGCGGTGAAAAGTTGGATCTTGGCGGCTTTGATCTGCCCGGCAACTACTCAATTCTTATCAACAAGCTTGAACAGCTTGCTCTGGGCCTGGACACGGCGTTGGGTAACTTCACCATCGACCGCCAGGAGGTCGAGATCAATTTGAGTGGCGGCGCCACCGATGTGACCGATGATTTACTTTTCAGCGATGTGTTGCCCGCTGCGCGGGCCCCACCGCCGCATATTGCTCATGGATCGAGGATATATACTGGAGATGATGGCCAGGACTTTGCCCATGTTGTTAGCGATATCTGGATTGGTGTTATTTTGACTCTTCTCATCGTGTTCGTGATCTTCTTTATCTGTGCGTGCTTTGTCTACCACAAGTTCCAGCAGTGGAAGAATTCATGTAAGTCGGCGTACAGTAAGATGTATCGTAAAGTGTGATCAGCAGAAAGCTTTAAAACGCATCAATCACAAATGGAAACTCATATAATGAGATAAAGAGAATTCATTAAATAATCTACATATTTACATAGCCAACGACTAAAAAATATCGTTTAAAGCGAGTTGTAGGAGCAGTTAAAAGTCCAGGTCACGGGAGTCTGAATCAAACGTGGGCTACAAGTGCAAATCCATTCGGATGGCTGACTAAGGCAAGACTTGGAACTCAGTGAGAGGGAGCAAGAAAAGCACAATAATAGAAAGCGATAAAATAAAATAAACAAAAGTGCCAAAGTACAAGAAGCAAAGCAAAGTCTGCCAAGAAAACAAATAAAAATCGAAAATAAAAATAAAAAAAGTATATACGTAGAAGTAGAAAGGGACTGACTCACACAAGGGAAATTTAAATTTGCAGCTTGTTTTTTTTAGCACAATCCAGAACCATGTCTTGTGACTTGGAAACAAAGGCATATGTTCGAGTATTGAATGCCCAAAAAATTTTAGAGGTCTGTCAGCGCATGTGTACCTTGAGTCGAATATTTGTTTGGCTAAACAATTTTCAAAACTATAATAATTAGAAGCCCCAGAATAGAAGTTGGTACGGACTTCCAACCAACCAAATACTAATCATATTCTGTCCATCCTTAAATTTAATGTAAATTATAAGGCAATTAGTCCAATAAATTTCAAACTAAATTGAATAACCATTCAGAGAAACACTAACACAACGATAAAATCAGAGAGAGAGACGAACTAAGTCAAGACAATGATATTTGGCCCGGGGAGGACCCCTTCTCCCACTGTCATTGTGTTTGCTTTGACCACTTTCAAAAACAAACATAACGCTTTCAGTTAATTAAAGTTGCAGTCAAGTGGTCTATTTCGAGGGTGAATTGAGCGTTGCCGTTGCTTAGAGGCCTTAAAATTGCCAACATCTCGAGCTACTCACTCTCTCCACTCCACTGACTAGCTCGCCTCTTAATAACACTGCAAATGTGTGTTAATTAATTAAATTTTTCTTGTCTTGCACTACCCAACTGACAAGCTGTCAATTGTTTCCGTGCGTATGTACATCCCAAAGTGTTTCTGCTCGGGGTTGATTCCTCTATTTCATTTCCCTTCAATTAGACGAATACATTGCGTACTAGGTCAGATTGAGAAACAAAAGCCTTATTATCTTGCCAAACCCTTGTAGATGCAACTATTTCGAATTTTTATTTAAAAAATGTTGGTACGAGTAGTTTGGTAATGTCAACGTCTTTTTTCGTTTAATGCATTTTATTATCTCTCTTGCTAGTGTTTTCTTTAACACGATCCACAGTAACCGTCATTCTGGGCACACAATAAGGTTTTGTTCTTTTTCTACCTTTTTTTTATTTAACCAATGCCGAAACAAGCTATATTTAATTATAGAATAAATCAAAGGTGGTTTTTCTGTTGATGGGTGGCTCTGCCTCTCTTTGCCGGCTATGAAAATTGTTGGCTCGGTGTTTGTGGGAAGAGCGGCTGCGAGAAAAGACAATGAAAAAAAACGAGAAGGAACGTGTGAGTCGTTTCTGGGGACACGACTCTACTTATACCCGTACTCAGTCAGTATATACTTACTTACTTACTTATTTTTTAGAATTTTAGAAAAAAAAAAAAAATTTACATTTTACATTTCTTTGCTACATCTGCTATCTACATCTACATATACAATGTCTATTCTACATCTAACATGGAGATTGTACATGTTCCATTTAGATTCTACATCTCCTCCGCTAGGGGTTGCTCGCGCACTGAACGCGGCAGAGTGTGCGAGCGAGAAGGAAAATGAGTTGTGTTGTCGTTTGCGGGAGGGGGGGCAGGGGAAGCAACTGAAAATTAATTTCGTCATTCTGGCTATAATTATGATCGGATCTGATTCAGATTCTGCAGTCTGGTAGATATGGATATTCTATACGATACTGCGTTTTTAGTTTTATCGTATCTTTAAAATTGTGGCTGCCACAGATTTTCGTCCTTTGTGTGGGCGGAAGGGGGCGGGGCGAAATTTTGAAATACACTTGTAGCAGTGTGATATCACATGAGTCTGGAAACCAAATTTGGTTACCCTAACTCTTATAGTCTCTGAGATCCAGGCGCTCAACTAGACGGACGGACGGACGGACGGACGGACAGACAGACATGGCTCTATCGACTCGGCTATTGATGCTGATCAAGAATATATATACTTTATGGGGTCGGAAACGTTTCCTTCTCTGCGTTACACACATCCACTTTTACCACAAATCTAATATACCCCTTAACTCTTTTTTGAGTACGGGTATAAAATCCTTATCCAGTCAAACGTGACGGCTCGCGACATGCCATTTGTTCGTTTTGGTCCACGTCTGTTTAATTTCCGCTTAATGATTTGCTTATCTTCTGTTATTGTTGTCCACCGCTACTCACCCTGTTCTAATGCTTAATGATTTTTCATC